GCTGGACAACCCACCATGGGGATCAAGAAAGACTCCTTGCAGGAGGTGAAATCTGTTCTCAGACCAGTAAGATGAGTAGAACTTAGCTGGGCAAAAGCAAGGGCAGATTGTGGAGAGGCAGCCAAGAGAAGAGCAGGCACTGAACAAATGGAGAAGCCCAGATGGGAGAGAGAGGAGAGTCTGGGGCACACTCAAGGATGGCAAGTTGCACAGCATAGCGGGAACCGAGTTGGAGGAGTGAGAGATGGGGTAGAGAGATGAGCATGTAAGAGGTCACGTGGGGACTTATGCAGGACTGTTCTAAGACTCCTGCAGACCTCAACACTTTCAGAGGCCCATCACACATCATATCAAACGTATTAAAATGTTTCCCGCTTCTACCTTTAGGTAATTTGTAAATAACAATGAGTTGAATTGCAGTAGACTATTAAATAGCATATTAATTTCTATTTCAAAGCTTTCTTATTGTATTTCAGAGCCAGCAATTCTTTTTTTCACATATCAAACATTTTCAAAGGGTTTTGAAAAGCTGGAATGCTCTAGGCACCGTGCTTATGGGGCCCAGATGACAACAGCCTTGTTTTAAACTTGCAGGTTTAAACCTGATAACTGACCCCCACCCTCCCACTGCCCAGTGCATTCTCTCCTTTCTCCTACCCTTCCTGAGTTCTAGCAGGGCACATGAGCAGTCAGCTAAAGTGGCCTCAGCTTCTCTTGCAGCAAGGAGCAGCCACGTGACTAAAGTTTTGGCTGTTTGCAGTGTGTGCAGAAGTGATATGTGAAATTTTCAGTTCACATTCTTAAAAAGGAAGCTAGCTGCCCTCTTCCTTCCCAATCTCTGCTGGCTGGATTGTGGACATGGTAGTGGTGAAACAATGTCAACCATGTAGACAAGGATAACATCCTAGGGCAGTGGTTCTCAAACTTGAGCATGCCTCTGAGTCACCTGGAAGGCTTGTTAAAACACAGATCACTGGGCCCCATCACCAGAAATTCTAATTCAGTGGGTCTGACATTTCTAATAATTTTCCAAATGACGCTGCTGCTGCTGCTCAGAACCACACTTTGAATACTATTGCCCTAAGGGATGGCAGAGCACTAAGAATGTACCTGGGTTTCTGGATTACCTTGTGGAGTAGATCTGCCTTCCCCTTGGACTGCACGTTCACCTTCGTGAGAAAGAAATTATTTATTTTTTGAACCTCTATAGTTTTTTGTCTCCTTGTTACATCAGCTTAATCTATAGCAGCTAATCCATGTTAAGGAAATTAAACTTTACCAAGGGAGGCAGTACAGTATAGTGGTTGAGCATGGAGTAATGGGTTTGAATCCTAGTTATGCCTAGCTGCGTGATCTTTGTGACTCAGTTTTCTCATCTATTAAATGGATCCAAGGGGACAAGGTCACCTATAGCTCATATCCCCTTTCTAGACCTTGTTCATTCTCAGGATCCCAGAATTCCCTGCTCAGTGGCCAGGAACACACTTCCATGATCTGCAGGGACCTCTTCTCTGGCTTTGTCCTTCTGATGGCTGACTATGCCTTCCAGGTACCACGCTAAGTCTGAGATGTTGCCAAGGTATGGCTATGTGACAGGGGTGTGGATGACACTTGGATGGGCAGGCTGGAGTGTTCTAGGTTAAACATGAGGCCCCTCTGGCATGTGATGACAGAGCAGAGGGTAGGGAGAGAAGAGGGTGGACTGTGGGCCAGAGGCAAGCTCTCCAAGTTGTCACATTCCAGTAGTATGGAACAACCTATGAATCTGAGAATTCTAAATTTGAGCCCAGCCTTCCAGCTGTCATGAAAGTATATTTGTCAAGTTAGGAGAATAGAACATAATTTTTTTTTTTTTTTTTTTTTTTGAGGAGATCAGCCCTGTGCTAACATCCGCCAATCCTCCTCTTTTTTTGCTGAGGAAGACGGCCCTGGGCTAACATCTGTGCCCATCTTCCTCCACTTTATATGGGACGCCGCCACAGCATGGCTTGCCAAGCAGTGCGTCGGTGCGCGCCCGGGGTCCGAACCAGCGAACCCCGGGCCGCCGCAGCGGAGCGCGCGCACTTAACCGCTTGCGCCACCGGGCCGGCCCCAGAACATAATTTATTTAACAGTTTGATAGCTTGATTTATGATTTTAAAATATTGAGACATATCACCTGCAGACTTCCATCTGGACTCCTGCACTGGTCTGCAAATTTAGGGCTGACCCTGGCTACCTTATAGGCCTGCCATGAGGACTGAATGAAACAATAGATGAAAAGTACTCAAAACAGTGCTTGGTGCACATGGTATGTACACAATAACATTAGCAATGACAATGCTTATGATTCTCCTGAGGGCAATAGGGACCTGGTGAAAGGTTTTAGGCAGAATAGTGACATTTGTTCACTATTTTTTCTGACAAATTTTGATTAAGGGTCTATTATGTGTCCAGCATTGTTCTGGGAGCTGCCGAGAATAGTAGCAATCAAAGCAAAGCTCCTCTTTCCAAGGAATGTACATTAGAATGGAGGGTAGAGAAACAGATAAAAATAAAAATATTTGACACGTCAAGTGATGTCTTTTGGTTTCAGAAAGATCATTTTGGCTGCAGGGAGGTAAGGCTGCAAGTAGATGTCAGTTAGGAGCTTGTTGGGAGAAGAGATGGTGGTTGTCTGATGCCGATAGTGGCAGAGTCAATAGAGATAAGTAAACCGATTTAAAAAACATTAACGTGCTAGAATGATGACACCTGGTGATTGGTGGCTATAGAGAGTGAGAAAAGAAGGAACACCCAAGAACGCCCATAGAACACCCACGTGGAGATGTCCACTAGGAAATTTTATATAAGGCTGGGCCTTTGGGCGGTTGGCAAGTGTCTCAGTGGTAACAGCCAAAAGCAGCATGGGGTGGGCATTCAGTGCGAGAAAAGCAAGTAGAGGCAGAAACCGAGCACTTTCTCTAGGAAAGGAGTGAGCTACAGGAGGCAGCTGGAGAAGGAGGTGAAGTGCAGGGAAAAGTTTTATTAGGTTGTGGTGAAATCAGCATTTTTGCAAGGCCAAGGGAAAGCAAGGAGTAGAGAGTAGAGAGACTGGAGCTGCATCCGAAGGGGTGGTTGATGGAGCAAGTTCTTGCTGGGGGAAGGAGGAAAGAGATGCTAAGGAAAATCACTGTTTCACCATGGAAAAAAGCAAATGAAATCATTTATACAGCCATCCATTCCTTGATTCAATAAGTATTTATTGAGTCCCTTCTACGTGCCAGGCACTGTCCCAGTGCTGGGAATAAGACAGAAAAAACCCTCACCCTACATTATGTAAGTCTAGTAGCTTAAAACAAAAACAAAATTAAATTCAAAACAAAAACAAATCAAAACCAAACAAAAATTTGGCCCCTGCCAGGCCAAGGCTCAAGAAGGCACGGTCTTGGCAGAAGTATGACTGCAAGGCACTGGAGTCCCTCAGCAGGGACTTTGCTCGTTCCCACAGGCGACACACAAGGCAGCAGCTGGGAGCAGGGACCTGGAACTCGAATACCCACCAGATGTGAGAGGAGAATTTTTATTTCAACATCAAGTTTTAACTATAAACGATTAAAGGAATCTCTTGCGGGCTTGCTGTGCTTGATGGGCTCAAAGCCTCAGTAAAGACAGACGACAACAGGCAAAAGACCATGGCAAATTCTCTTTAACATCAATAAACTTGATATCTGAACCTTCAGTCCTCTGAAGAACAAATCTCTGGTTCTTCTCTTTAATCCCCCAACTCGGCTAATTCCATTTAGATACTGCCTAAGTGGATAAAATCCATCAAGTCATGCTTAGCCCTTCCTCCATTCGAGTTCTTCACAGTCATTAACTAATACTATTTTTGAAAGAGAGAGAGGAGAGCAGAAGAGGCACATTTTGCATTTCATCCTGAAATGTTACCCTTAGGGACAGACTGGACAGGACTCCTGCCATACGACCCAGGACTACGTTACACGTCAGACAGAGTAGGTATATTCCAAGTGTCAGAACTAGGGAGGAGAAATGTTAAATTTGTGCTTGGGGATTCATAGACAGTTTGAACAGCAAGGGACTTGGAAGTCACTGAGTGGAAACTTCTTATTTGACAAGATGAGAATGATCCATCACAAGGCCAGTTGGTGGATGCCCAGCTTAGATCCCAGGTGTCCTGAAACTCCACCTAGCACTTTTTCCATTACTCCATGTTACCATATTCCATACTGAGTTCAAATTTCAAATAAATGATTTTTCCAGTGAAAAATGATTTATTGGGGGAGACGATTTTATGAAAAATTTCTCACGTGGAATGGATAAATGAGTGCTTACACCAAAGAAGATTTCAACATCAGACTGTAAATCTCTATCTCAGACTAGAAGATAGTGTTCTGAAGGGAAGAGCTATCTTTGTCATTTACATTGTGGATAATTCAGGCCCTTTGCTTTCCTCCTGACACTCACTTTTAACCTTCTGACCATTTCATTTGTACCCTCTGGCCATTTCATTACTGAAACACAAGCCAAACTCTGGAAAGGAGTTTGGTGATAAGAAAAAATTGAAATTATGATTTAAATTGAGACTTGGGGATTTTCTGTGGATAATTATCCATGTCCCACCTTACCAAAGAAAAAGTGAATTTCAACTAGAATATAAAGTAATTCTCTCTGAAAATGTGGGATGAAAGAGATCAGCCCTGGGTATTGGGAGTATATTTATCCCTCAGAAAAATCTTGCCCCTGGAATGCATTAGACTGGGATGAAATACTTTGGAAGTATACTAAATTTTATTCTAACATTGATGAGAGGGAAAAAAAGGAAAGAAAAATGAAGCAGGGTGAAAAATAAGGTGATTGAGAGAAAGAGAGAAAAAGAAGAGACAGAAACTTGTTAATTACAGGACTTTCTGAGCAAGATATTTTTCTTCCTTTCACAAGTTAGAAGCTATTGAATAATTCATGCCAAGCGTGGAAAGGCTGCCTTTTCCCTGGGTGATGTATAACCGTGCAGGAGAGAGCTTCGAGTGGGTTCACCACATCAGCCACCACTCTTGCTTCTGAGCACAGGGTGCTCTCCTCTGGAGCTCCACTTCTGCTTTTGCAGCTGAGCATCCTTGCTCCTGCTGCCTGCCTGCCTGCCCACCCGTCTGGGCTTGCAGCCTGCCACTTTACTTTCTCCAGCCCCACTGCCAGCTGAGAAGTCTCCCTGCAGCTGCTGGTTTCTGCCTAGGACCATGTGTGTGGATGCTGCTTGGGAGAAGCAGGCACTTGCTCCTGGCACCGATCCCAGCTGAGCTTCTCCTGTTGATTTCGGGACCACTGATGCTGCTGCTGAGGAGGTATTTCCTGGCATCCTTTCCTCTGCTACCGCCAGCTAAGGACCAGCCCAAAAGTAAGGTATCCTCAACCCCTTTCCCCTGGGATTTTTCCCAGCTGGGATAGCTCTGCGTTCTCCTTGAAACTAGGGGCTCCATCTGGCAATATTCCCAACTATGTGTGTATTTGGGTGTGTTGGGGGAGAAGAGGAGACTGTACTTGGTATTGCTCTGTCCTAGGGCTTCCCTGGTGCCTGCTGAATGCAAAAAGGCCTTGCCCCTGGCACTAGAGACATTTCCGAGGCGGGCACCTGTCATCTGCCACCCCCGTTGTTCTCCTCGAGCTCCCTCTCTCCCCCTCCCCCAGCCCATTATTCTGCTTTTGTGTCGGTGGCAGAGGGCTGAAGGGATGTCTTTGCCCTCCTTGCAGGCGGGTGTCAGGATGGGCCGCGCTGCGAGAAGCCGACGCTAGCGAGCGAGGTGTGAAGAGTTGGCCAGAATGACCAACTCCTCCTCCACGTCCACCTCCTCCACCACCGGGGGGTCGCTGCTGCTGCTCTGCGAGGAAGAGGAGTCGTGGGCGGGCCGGCGCATTCCCGTGTCCCTCCTGTACTCGGGCCTGGCCATCGGGGGCACGCTGGCCAACGGCATGGTCATCTATCTCGTGTCGTCCTTCCGAAAGCTGCAGACTACCAGCAACGCCTTCATTGTGAACGGCTGCGCCGCCGACCTCAGCGTCTGCGCCCTCTGGATGCCGCAGGAGGCGGTGCTCGGGCTCCTGCCCGCCGGCGCCGCGGAGCCCCCCGGGGACTGGGACGGCGCCGGGGGCAGCTACCGCTTGCTGAGGGGCGGGCTGCTAGGCCTTGGGCTGACTGTGTCCCTCTTGTCCCACTGCCTGGTGGCCCTGAACCGCTACCTGCTCATCACCCGGGCGCCCGCTACCTACCAGGCGCTGTACCAGCGGCGCCACACGGCGGGCATGCTGGCGCTGTCCTGGGCGCTCGCCTTGGGCCTCGTGCTGCTGCTCCCGCCCTGGGCGCCGCGCCCTGGCGCCACGCCACCGCGCGTCCACTACCCGGCGCTGCTGGCCGCCGCGGCGCTGCTGGCGCAGACCGCGCTGCTGCTGCACTGCTACCTGGGCATCGTGCGCCGCGTGCGCGTCAGCGTCAAGCGGGTCAGCGTCCTTAACTTCCACCTGCTGCACCAGCTGCCCGGCTGCGCCGCCGCCGCCGCCGCCTTCCCCGGTGCTCCGCACGCGTCGGGCCCCGGGGGTGCGGCGCACCCGGCGCAGGCCCAGCCCCTGCCCCCCGCGCTGCACCCGCGGCGGGCGCAGCGGCGTCTCAGCGGCCTCTCGGTGCTGCTGCTCTGCTGCGTCTTCCTGCTGGCCACGCAGCCGCTGGTGTGGGTGAGCCTGGCCAGCGGCTTCTCGCTGCCCGTGCCCTGGGGCGTGCAGGCGGCCAGCTGGCTCCTGTGCTGCGCCCTGTCTGCGCTCAACCCGCTGCTCTACACGTGGAGGAACGAGGAATTCCGCCGCTCCGTGCGCTCTGTCCTGCCCGGCGTCGGCGACGCGGCGGCCGCCGCCGCTGCCGCCACTGCCGTGCCCGCCGTGTCCCAGGCACAGCTGGGCACCCGCGCCGCCGGCCAGCACTGGTGACCCGGCCAGGGCCCGAGGGAAGCGGAGATTCCGGCTTCCAACGTCCTTGGTCACTTACCATCGCTTCCTGCCCTTGTGAAGTATCCCCTGCCCGAACGAAGACTCCTGCCACGAATCCCAGTAAAATCGGTGCGAAGATTTCCCCTTCGACCCCAGTGGGATGCCTGAACCAAGGTCTCTCCCTAAATGGGGTCCCCAATGTCATTTTTGGACGGCCACTTGATTTTTACCCTTTGTTTCTGTGTTTTAGAGAAACCCTCAAGTCAAAACACTGGTCAAATCCTAAAGTCAAAACTTCAAGAACTTGCGAACTGACGTTTACTAAGAACCGGTTAATTTATTTCAACACTGTTTTTGAAAAAGAGCTTTGATAACGTATTATCATTCCCACCTTCATCGTCTTATGATATATATGAAGCGCCTTGAGTGTGCATGAGCCAAAAGAAATACTATATTGATGAAAGAAATAATATTTAAGAAGTATTTTAGAAAGTAACCTATCTTTGACGATGCTTCTGTTATAATTTAGCCTTTGTATATTAACCTGAAGAATGAAGCCACAGATGTGCACACCAGTGTGAGTTGCCATTAAGACCTCAAGCCCCTTATTCTTAAAAGGGTTTTTATAAAGTAAAATCATTCCCGAATGAGATAGAATCTTAGCCAGTGGGGGAAAAACAGATTTATTATTTTACACTCCTTTTTGCACTTCTAAGACTGAAAATTGGCATTGAGTGTTAAAGGGAAATATTTCCATTGTACTGATTGATGGTCTGAGCCAGCAACGGAATTTGGAAACAAATAAGAGGGTTATCTATTTTACGTACCAGTTTCACATTTTCTATAGCATGCACACTTGTTGCTACCCTCATTTTGTAATTAATTTACTTGCCTTATGAGTGTGATTGTAGCTTTGAACATTCTGTACTATAATGGTTGCTAAGGAGAATAAGTCCTTCTGTTTTCTCTTTAACATTTAAAATATCTCAATGCACATGATATAATTAAACACTAATAATACCATGACTGCATAGCTAATATTAGCTGCTATTGCATGCTCCTAGATGCTAGAACTTATTGGGCATGTGGTATACTAAAGCAATACCCATTAGACAAGGACATTTTACTTCTTCCAGACACCAGAAGAAGTGGCCTTCAATTATTTGAAAAGAGACACAGATACACCTCTGGCTACCTAGAGTTCTTCTTGTCTTGACCCAATTTATGAGAAAACTCCCAGGTGGGACTTTGTCTTGCACATGGAACCACAGTCAAGATGGATCAATAATATAGTTTGGCTCTGCAAAGCCATCTGTGCTCTTTTAGGGTTTAGACAAACCACACATGAGAAAACAACACTGTTTTTTATGTAGTTCGTATATATTACCATGACACTTTTAACATTAATATCGTGTCTGTTAAAAGAGGTGTAATAAACTCAGTTATATATAACAAACAGTTCAAATGGGAGTCTGTTCTAAAATGTGTGATTCGAGGCTTGCCCTTTTCATCTTTGGTTTACTCTAGAAATATTTGAAACACACAATCGTGTGAAATCACTTTATAAAATTAAAAAGGGAAGAAAGTAATTTTAAATAATCATCTATCCTCAGTCTGATTGCTGATTACATCAAATCTGGGGTGGATCAGCCTCAATTACCTGGACATTGTAAGCCAGGATAGTGGGAGCACTTAGGCATTTGAATAATTATGGGAGCTGCAGGAAACTGACATGTTTGTAGTAAAACAAAACAAAGCAAATATATTCATCACCAGTAATAGATCAGCAATCATTTTATTAATCTATCCCCTTTGTGCATGCACCATTTCTCTCTTACTAAGGTTTCATCTGTTCCCATTTTCCTTGATTCAAATATTTAATTAAAGTTCAGACAACCATTCCTCTGAGTTTTTTCTTCCGTCTCTGGTCTTCTTGCATACCTCCTTGAGAATACGGTAACAATGACACGGTATTCCAAAGCACTAATGATGAAAGTAACTTCTTTGTTCTGGCTTTGTTTACTTTTATTTTTGGTTTCTAAAATTAATTCTACTTTATGTAATTAAATAGGGTCCATAAGCCAGCATTAAAAAGAAAAGGTATAATTTCCTTTCCGTAAGCATAATTCATTTGTGGCATAGGGTGCAGCAACGACAGAGAGCTGAAGAGTTTCCTTTGTTGGGGGGTAGGCTTTGGCACTTTTCTAAATCTCTATCAAAAAGATCTTTTAATTAGACTTTATCCTTGTTTCTCATTGTGGATGCTGCCAGCAATTCCTCCTGTTGTTCCTATAAACATTTGCCACACATATAAACTTAGTTTTTCAAGTACCTGATTTTTTCCAATGTTTCTGGCTAACACTGAGAACCATCTTATGCTGGCTCAGTGCCATGTGGGAGACCTACTTTAGGTTATATTTACTGGTAATTAACTCCACAGGACTGATTCACTTTTAATTTCGAAATAGCAATGAGGCATCTAAAAATGCCTTAGTAGGACACTAGCTGGAAGGGTTGGAGTTAGTGCTTTTACAAATTAAGTGAATGGAGATTGTGTTCTTATTTAAATGAAACCACATATTATCCACTCAGGGATGAAACAAAAACCTAATTGCTGTCGTGGGCTGCCCTATTTTGCCTTTTTTACTTTTTTTCTTCAAGTATATGCCTGTTAAGACATGCCCCTCCCCCCCACCCTGCATTTTAATGGCTAAATTCTAGGATGTAATAGGTATTACTCCTAGCACTTCCCTCCTTCCAAAATGAAGTATGTGCATCAACAAGAATTCTGTTTTGCACAGAGGCATGCACAGCTGGTTTTTGTTTTAAACACTATAGGGAGATTTCTAAGGTCAGACAAGTTCCCTTGTGTCTCAGAATTAGGGAGAAAGTTTTCTGCAATGGAGGTATTGTTCTTTTCAGGAGGACCCAGTGGGAGGATGGAGTAAAGCAGAGGAAGGGGGAATGGACTTGAACACTCTGATGGAGATAGCCCTTGAAAAGATCTGCTCACCAAGGGAATGTTGGTCTGCTTTGGCCTCGTGATTCAGTGCAGCCCTGCTCTTCTGATAACAGCCATATTGGCCAACATCATGGTTTCCAGTGTAACCTTTATTCCATTCTCCCAGGAACTCAGACAGTGCTCATCTGGCTCTTTAGCAGTCCTATGAGCTAACCTGACAAAGGGCATCAATGACATAAATTTAAATTCAAGACCATAGAGCAATACTGTAGATGTCCCTTACTTTTAGACATTTTTTCATGTTTGTGGGTTGTAGGGCAAGAGTGGAGCTCCAGATGGGAGGTCTTGTTCTGCAGGAACCGGGGGGGGACCCTTTCTTTCTGCCCTTTCTCTCCCTTTCGGCCCTTTGAGGGGCCTCACACACATGTGTGTAGACTCAGCCCCCAGGTCCAAGTTCTGCCCACATCCACCTCTCAGCCAGCCACCTTGCCCACCTCTAGAAACTAGCGGTGCACACACAGGGGTCAGAGCACACCCTGGAAGTGGCCTCAAGCCATTGGGGCAGGGAATTCCTAGGTTCCAGGTACCAGTGCTGATTGAGGGAGGAGGAGCTCCAGGTGGGCGCATTTCCTTGGGACTCCTCTCCCTGTGGGAAGGGGAGTGGCCAGAGGAAGGTGGGAGCAGGGGCTTTAAAGCATGAGACCCAGGTTGGGATCCCAGTGTCTTAAATCTAAGGGCCAGACTACTTTCACATAGGTCTTTCTCAGGTATCCTTTCTTAGCTCCTCCCACCTTCAGGGACTCCTTAATCAGGTGCCAAACATAGGGTTTCCCTAGATACTTAATCACATCAGGCCTAATGCAACAGGCAAGGAAGGTAGTGAGGAGGGAGTGGGAAGGGTGTGGATGTAACGAGGTAGGTCAGATGTTGAGGGCTGTTGAAGGGGAGTACACGGGTTGTTGATGGGTACACGGGCTGTATTGCACAGGTCTCTTTACTGGTGTGTATCTTTGAAAATCTTCATAATGAAAAGTTTAAAAAAGTGAAGACAAACTCAGAAAAAAAGAAAGAAAGGAAGAAAGGAAGGAAGGGAAAAAGCAAAGAAAGAAAAGTAACTAACGTGCCTTAGGTCATGCAGCAATTAAAGGCCACACAGCGATTAAACGGAGGAGCTGGGTTTTGTCTGACTCCAGAGCGTGAGATGGAAACTACCATGCTGTAGGATAAAATCAGCATTTTTCAGTCGGTTGTGGAATTCACTGCATGATACGACCATTCCCTATTTCCCCAATCTCTCTCCCCTACATGCATCCTTCACTATGGCCTAGTAGGCCTGCACACCGCCTTCTAAGCATGGCCCATGTCCTGTGTCTGAGCGTTGTTCATTCAAGGACCTTCCTGGAGTGTCTTCACATCTTATCGCTTGCCCAATCCGCAAGCTTTCTTCCAGGAAGCCTCACTTAGTTTATGCTTCCTCATTAGAGCCTCCCCTCCCTGCAGACGTGAAGCTCTGCCTCCACAGATCTCCTGCACCACTTTGTTCTTACCACATATTCCCTTCTTGTATTATCTCTGTCTTAATGAGTGCGTCGTCTTCAAAACTAGGTGGGAAAGGTTTCTGGTTTATTTTTCATTCCTTTGATTTTTTTTTTTTTAGGGTAAATACCGTCTTTTATCTTTTAGTAGCCAGTTACCTGAAATATACTAGATATTAATATATGTTTACAGTTGAAGACAGTAATTTTGAAAGAAAAATGATTTGGTCCTTTCCCTTGCATGTTTATTTTTCTCTTAATGAAATAGACCGAAGAATAAATCCTGTCTCCCAACTCATATTTTGCCAGTGGATATCCCAGGATAATGATGTATGGGATCATGAGCCACGTGCATAAATCACATGCTGTTAGTGCTGTCATTCATGGGAGATTTATACTCCTGTTATCCAAGCTCTGTCGCACTAAGAAAAGCAACAATAAGTTTCAGTCCTAATTACTACTTTAAATTCAAGATCAAATTACCGAATAAGTGCAATTATTTCTCATGGCCTTGCCTAGAAAAGCTGTGTATTTTTGATATGTACAAGCCTTAAACGTTGCTAATCAATGGCCATGCAATTTTATTAGAACCCTGAGAGAAATAACTGTGGGAATGTCTTTACCTCTCCTTGTCAGTTCACTGGATAAGAGACCTGGAGATTATCCAGCCTAGTTCCCTGCTGTTTTTATTAGACAGAAAGTGCTTTGATTTTTAATTTTTCTTGGTATAAATTAGGCCCATTTCCCATTTTTCTATTCTCAGGGAGTAGAAAAGTATCTAGCATGATTTGTATAGTAATGCTGTAACAGATACTCTGC